AGTTAAACCTGTAGAGTCCTGGAAAGCAAGTGATCTTGACCAAGTCCTACTCACAGGAGACAAAGTACATCTCAACCAGCTTTGCTACATTGGAAAATCCGCAAGCGGTGGACTTAAGTTAGCTCTTGATGAACTTCCTAAAGACTTGCAATGTTTCCGTTTTCAGTTTTTTACAGAGAGAGAAATAGTAGGTGGGACAATTGATAAAAGGGACACTACCTCAGACGATGATGACTTCGCTAGATTAGAGGACATCTTTGAAAAATGTCAAAAAGAGAAAGCAACTGGATTATTGTTACGAATTTTAGACTACACTATTGCCTGTGCACCAAGCTATTCCACATGGCATGTAATAGATTCTCATGCAAGAAATTCGAGAGGAATGGTAGATGAAAAGGGGTCTTCAGTGGTGCTTAAATTCGACAACTTCAATGCCCTTATCTATTACATAAGATCCTTCGTTGAGGCTGCAACCTCTCAAAGAAGTCTCACCATAGATGATCTAACATTTGAAGCACTCGTCTTGAACATCAAAGAACGAAAGTCAGCAGAAAGTGACGATGTCCTCATTCTTCCTGTGTCCAGTCTGTTATCGTATCAAACCAGCTTTGGAAGTGTAGATGTGCACAGTTGCTTTACAGTGTGCCTCGAGAAAGACCAAGAAATGAATGATGACGTTCTGGATTTTTATTTGCTCCACGCCGCTGAAAATCAGCTACATTGCGATTTAAAGAAGATGTTATATCTATATAATTCCTGTTTCTATAAGAAATTATCGCAATTCAACCCACAGGCGTTAATGAAATGGACAAAAAATACAGACATTTTCTCCAAGAAGTATCTAGTAATTCCCGTGTGTAATAGTCGCCATTGGATTTTGGTAATCGTCAGGATAGATTCCAGCATCAGGCTGATGATACTCGATTCCCTACACAAGGAGCAAAAAACTGTTGAACGTAGGATAGTTAGATACCTTAAAGACGTGTGGTCAGCTAGACCACCACAAGGTGGAAAAAAGACCCTGGAGGTGGAAGAGGTCAGCTATCCTACAGTCCCTCAACAGCCAAACGACAAAGACTGTGGTTTATACGTAATGAAATGTTTCGAACAGTTCTTGGAATTTGTCAACAGAGACTTGCAGTGGTCTACATGGAAGCCAAACTTCTCCCACCGAGACATTCTCTCCCTCCGTAAGATAGTTAAAAATACTATTATGGATGAAGTATCCAGTAAGTGAAAAAGAGTTTGAATAATTAAGCAATAGACCACACTCTATTTAAACAATAGAATGTTCCTGTAGTTGCCCGAGAAGCGAAGAAAGTGTGAAGGTCGAAGGGTATTTGTGATTTTTTACGTGGCAGCGATAAGCAGCAAGTTGTAGTATTATTTATACGAAACTACTGGGGCCTTTGATTTGACGGACCAAATCTGCCTAAACTAAGAATCATAAGTTACTGTTTTCAGTTAGATTTCGTAACGACTTTAAATTAAGAAATGTGCGTATATGTTCTGTTCTTATTAATTCCTAGAAGACAAAAGTTGAGTTGTTTTGTAGGCACTTTGCGGTAACTGGTATATCTTTTAGAGTGATAACTTGCATCACTACAACTTTAAGGGCCCATTAACTTATCTTTTTAAGCCGTTGCTGAGGAAAATTTATTTTCTTATAACCTTGTCATTTGTACATAGTTCAGGGTTATTTCATGTACTTTATCTTAACCATCATCAGTTACACAAGTGTTGAAGTCATCAGGCCACGCGCATGGTCATGTGACTCAA